GTAACGACTCTGCCATTTATTGAGGCAGAAATACAAGATATTTATATAAAATACATCAATATGAAATAGATATTTAAGAAAGTAAAGAAATATAAGAATATAATAAAATAAAGAATATTAAAGAAATGTGTGAAATTAGAGATCGCTAAGAAATTAGTGAAATTAGAGATCAGAGAAATGGAGAATCGTGATCGTCAAGATTACCATTCGTCAATTATGTTTGGCGCAGTATCGTGCGTCATAACAAGACTATCACTAACACCGTACTTCTTTCTCGCAACCAAACTACAATTCTGTATCCTTATTTCTCTGTAACACATACCTTTTCAAATTACTAATTTGAAATAATTATTACATCGTATTTATTATATCATTTTTATATCATTAATATAATTTACTTATTTTAAACTGACTGATAATACCGTTTTGCCCTCTTTTTTTTAGGTTCAGAAAAGAAAAAGGTTTTAATTTTGCTGTGTCACTCAATTTCGTTAAAATTACCTTCTTTTTTTACCTTGTTTTTTTTAAGGTTTGGAAAATATGTTAGTATTAGCTTTTTTAAATAGTTTTTCACTAACTTCCATTACACTAAACTTATTTTTTCTTTATTTCTTTAGATTCGGAGCTTGCATTTAAAGTTAAAAAAAGGTGAAACTTGTTTTCAAAAAGGTTCCGCTGCATAACTTTTAAAAAAAAAAATACTTTTTTTTAAAGTTCGCTACGTAACATTTGTTTGTTTAACTTACCTCTTTTCTTTTATATCTTTGAGTCTAGAGTCTGCATCCCATTAAAAAAAAATGTAATCTTTCTTTAATAAAAGGTCTGCGTGTAATATTCATTAAATATGTTTGCACATTCTGAGTGTTTTAGCTTTTAACCGTTTCTTCTTCATTTTTCATGTTAAAGGCACCGGTATTTTCGAACTCGATCTTTAAACGATGTTTCATGAAAAATTGTTATTAACAACCACCTTTGATATTAAATAAGCTACATGGGCTCATCACTTTCTCCTTGATTCTTGTTCCTCAAGTGCTTCTTAGCTATATTGACACTTCCACCTTTGAAAATATGAATTGAATTTTTCGTCGATTTACTAATATATTTCCGGTTCGGCAGATTTTCGCTAAACGATCGACACTCGCATTGACTTCTTTATTCTTAATGCATTAATGTCTGAATTTATCATGTCTCTTAAATATTGCATTATTGTTTCTAGAATACATTTTCGAAGTGTGGAAAATCTATACTCGCAAATCACTTTTTGCTATAAGTTTGAACCTGATGTTAGTGAGGAAAATGTGAAAGTAATTAAGAATGCAATTTAGTATTATGAGAAGTTAAGTTTAATCAATTAATAGAATTATATGAAATGGTGACGAATGTTGAAACAAATTTTAAGCTTACATTTACGTATATAGTTGCAGAATTTTCAATAAGTTGGATAAATGAAGCCTGAATTCATTGTGCAATCACATATTATTTTGGGGTATAACGGTTTAAAAAGATCGACGACGAACCACATAATCGAAAAGATCTATGACGGACTTCAGGAATGAAAAGGTCGATGTCGAACCTAATAATTGAAAAGATCGTTATCTCAAATATTGTACAGCATTTGATTTTGTACTAATTATTTTTATGAAACAAGATATTAGAATGTAAACATATTACAATTAATGATTAATAAAAAAATGAACGTGAATCAAAGAAGGCAGGCACGGAACTTTTTCAACGGAAGGCAGGACATTTCATCTAGACCAACGTTTTTCCCACCGGCTTTCTTGATATATTAATATTTTCTAAATAGTGAACGACAGACATTGCGAGTTGTACATTAAAAGTCCTACGCTTACGCTTCGGACAATAATAATATGAAATAAATAAATTGAAATGAAATAAACAAACATACTTACCTTATTTCGGTTTTGTTTTCTGTACATAAAACTATTTACATTATTTGGGCAGTGCGCTAGGAAAATCAACTTTCTGATACAATTTAGTTGAAATTTAATTTTAACCAAAAAAATTACAGAAAATGATTTCTAGCACTGCCTATTTGCAGACGTCGTATTCAATTCTCTTGTGACCAACTTGCGGAAAAAGTTCACAACCATTGAAAAGTTCCATTTAAAATAATAATTTGTTTCTATATAAATTCTATCTATACATTAATACATTAATATTATTGTTTGGTATATTATTGTTTGGTTGTCTATTATTTACATAGTATGTTGCCGTTGCAGTAATAGTAATTGATATTGTATTAAAAACCCCATTGATCAGCGCCACGATTACTCCGCAATCCATAAAACCACCCTTGTCACTCGCGGGACACGCGGGACAATCTGTCTCAATGATTTTTCCAACTACATCAAGATGAAAAGATATTAAATAAGCTTTGAGTTTTGTTCCAAAGTAGCATGCCAGTTGTAATATAGCCTCATAATCATACCTGGAGCAGCAGAGACATAATTGCATATTACAATCAAAAAAAGTATTAAAAGAAATTTAAATAATACACTTTGCATTTTTAATAAGTAGGAAGTAAAGTATATAGTTACTATATATAGGATGTGAAGAATATAGTTCTATAAATTTCTAGATTGATTTTAAAATCAAATATAATCTTATATTTTTTAGATTTTATTTTTTGGGAAAAAGTAAAAAGATGATGTCTTATTTATACATTTGGGACCGGAATACATTGCATTAGCAAACATCGTATTTTTTTTTCTTTGGAGGATTTCTTTATTTCTTTATAGAAAACTCCCGGAAAAAAATATATCGATAGTTATTGTGACATTCGGAATTGCAGCTGTTGTAGCCCAAATGCATTAATGTCCGAAATGATCATTTCTCATTTGGGATATCCCAAATGCGAAGATCGTTTTCTACATACATTTGTCCAAATGCGCATTTATTCCAAATGACCATCACTTCATACAATAATCACTTCGATACAAATTATCAATTCGGATGCTCAATTTGACTATTTTATGTTCATTAAAACCATTTCGAATGATCCAAATGACAAACATAGGGAATCTTAATTAGTAATTCTACTTTTGGCATATAATGTTAATTTCCTATATGTCTCTGGTCATTTGAAACGGTTCGAAGAGGTCATTTGTCCGAAATTACAATTCGTGAATGTCTGATGTAGTCATTGGGATATCCGAAATGAGCATTTGGGATATCTTAAGTGAGCATTTGGGACATTATCCGAAATGATCATTTCAGACATTAATTTCGGGTACAACACAGCCAAACCAATTATTTAATTTCCTTATAGCTTGCGTCATTCCATGTACAGTACATCAATGAAAAAAGTTACACAGATTCCGGTGATTGTTATAATTGTTTTTTTCTTATAGAATATCAAAATTTGTATAACGCAAGCTATGGAAAACAAGGTGTTTAACGAAACACAGATACAATTCCGATGCAAAGGATTTTGCATTTAGACTATTAGGACTAGGTTTTGTTTGCCAGCATCGATAGGAATTCCTATAAAGAAATCCTTCAAAGAATTTGTCGATAATGCAATCGAAACATAATATCTTCTAAATTATAAAATTTCCAAAAAAAATATTGCTAGGATATCTAACAAGGAATATCACAAACCTGTATGAGCCGTAAAATATCTAACAAGGAATATCACAAACTTGTATGAGCCGTAAAGAACAGCATCATTTGCCACGACAATAAAAAAGTTCCGCCTATTAATAAATCTACTTGAACAAATAATTCATAATACATAATAATAATTTCAAAAAAAATATTGCAAGGTATAGTACCCTTAACCTTTATGAGCCATAAAAGGCTAACAGCATTTGCCACGGAAATAAAAAATTTCATAATTTCTTCTGTTAACAATCTACTTGGCCATCATTTGTCACTTAAAAAAAATTTCATGATAACAAAATTAATTAAAAAAATTATACTTAATTATACAGTATTTACCTGAAATTCCCGTCCAATTCAGAATATATGGGCATTGTGAGCCGATATACATTGCTTTTTCGCCAAATAATACTAGTGAAAAGTCGAAACAATCGTTACGTTCGTCAGGATCAATATCACGACACTTCTAAGAGAAATATATACATTGCTTTTGTGCCAAAAATACGAATAATTCTGCACTTATTGACAAAATAATTTTTATTTAATTTATTTTAATATTTTAGTTTTATTATTTAATTACTTCTATTAAATGTAAATAAAATAAAATTATTTTAATATATAAATATCATACTGTAATATTGTAGAAAAAAAATATATTAAAAGAACTAGTTATTTTTGTTAAAATAAAATATTTCTTTATGTTTATCAGATATCGCGTTTCGGGTCAAGCTTCTTGTACACATATACAGTATATTAAATATTTAAGTTGATATCATTTAATTTTTTAGTCGCGGCATTGCGGCAATGATTCTAGCACCTTGTTAGTCATCCAGTGTTATGATACTCTTTTTTAGGTATTTCGAAATATTTTTTTATAAATTGTTAATAAGTAGAATTTTTATTATCACAGATGTAAGAATATATAAATTTTATTTATTTATTTTTTCCTTAAAAAATGTATCACTTTATTTACTTTATTTATAATTCTTATAATTAATTACAAACTAGTCCATCAGTGATCAAATGGGGCCTTTGCAATAGAAAGGGGGGAAACGGCGGAAAAATCAAAAATGAGTTAATGGCAATTTCAGATATATTTCAGCCCGAGAAATATATTTGGAT